GAGAGAGAGAGAGAGAGAGAGAGAGAGAGAGAGAGAGAGAGAGAGAGAGAGAGAGAGAGAGAGAGAGAGAGAGAGAGAGAGAGAGAGAGAGAGAGAGAGAGAGAGAGAGAGAGAGAGAGAGAGAGAGAGAGAGAGAGAGAGAGAGAGAGAGAGAGAGAGAGAGAGAGAGAGAGAGAGAGAGAGAGAGAGAGAGAGAGAGAGAGAGAGAGAGAGAGAGAGAGAGAGAGAGAGAGAGAGAGAGAGAGAGAGAGAGAGAGAGAGAGAGAGAGAGAGAGAGAGAGAGAGAGAGAGAGAGAGAGAGAGAGAGAGAGAGAGAGAGAGAGAGAGAGAGAGAGAGAGAGAGAGAGAGAGAGAGAGAGAGAGAGAGAGAGAGAGAGAGAGAGAGAGAGAGAGAGAGAGAGAGAGAGAGAGAGAGAGAGAGAGAGAGAGAGAGAGAGAGAGAGAGAGAGAGAGAGAGAGAGAGAGAGAGAGAGAGAGAGAGAGAGAGAGAGAGAGAGAGAGAGAGAGAGAGAGAGAGAGAGAGAGAGAGAGAGAGAGAGAGAGAGAGAGAGAGAGAGAGAGAGAGAGAGAGAGAGAGAGAGAGAGAGAGAGAGAGAGAGAGAGAGAGAGAGAGAGAGAGAGAGAGAGAGAGAGAGAGAGAGAGAGAGAGAGAGAGAGAGAGAGAGAGAGAGAGAGAGAGAGAGAGAGAGAGAGAGAGAGAGAGAGAGAGAGAGAGAGAGAGAGAGAGAGAGAGAGAGAGAGAGAGAGAGAGAGAGAGAGAGAGAGAGAGAGAGAGAGAGAGAGAGAGAGAGAGAGAGAGAGAGAGAGAGAGAGAGAGAGAGAGAGAGAGAGAGAGAGAGAGAGAGAGAGAGAGAGAGAGAGAGAGAGAGAGAGAGAGAGAGAGAGAGAGAGAGAGAGAGAGAGAGAGAGAGAGAGAGAGAGAGAGAGAGAGAGAGAGAGAGAGAGAGAGAGAGAGAGAGAGAGAGAGAGAGAGAGAGAGAGAGAGAGAGAGAGAGAGAGAGAGAGAGAGAGAGAGAGAGAGAGAGAGAGAGAGAGAGAGAGAGAGAGAGAGAGAGAGAGAGAGAGAGAGAGAGAGAGAGAGAGAGAGAGAGAGAGAGAGAGAGAGAGAGAGAGAGAGAGAGAGAGAGAGAGAGAGAGAGAGAGAGAGAGAGAGAGAGAGAGAGAGAGAGAGAGAGAGAGAGAGAGAGAGAGAGAGAGAGAGAGAGAGAGAGAGAGAGAGAGAGAGAGAGAGAGAGAGAGAGAGAGAGAGAGAGAGAGAGAGAGAGAGAGAGAGAGAGAGAGAGAGAGAGAGAGAGAGAGAGAGAGAGAGAGAGAGAGAGAGAGAGAGAGAGAGAGAGAGAGAGAGAGAGAGAGAGAGAGAGAGAGAGAGAGAGAGAGAGAGAGAGAGAGAGAGAGAGAGAGAGAGAGAGAGAGAGAGAGAGAATAGTTCGAGATGCGTGGCTTCAGCGTTCGCTCGTACGTAGCCGTATACAGCGCCCCTCCCACCGCTTCGCCGCGCACCAAGCAACGCCTGAGTAGGAAGTCTCTTCTCGCCGCGCGCTTGTGATTGGCCCATCTTTTTAAATTAATCTCTTAATAATTATTACGAAAATCGCAAAATGGTAAAGGACTTTTCTTCTCGGTTTTATGTGCTCTACCTGCACATGGCGTGTGATCCGCGAATTATGGGACACCCTGTATATATATGTATATAAACATATATATGTTATTATTATAGTATTATTAATTATTATTATTATATAATTACTTTGGCAGATCATAATTGCTACTCGTAGATGAATCCGTGCATTTGGGCGTCCTGAGATACGAGATGTTTAATGCAGATTGAGGCACAGGTATGGGCAATGTAGTCGAACATCTCATTGTCAATTCAAGCGTATCAGGTTTTTGTTCGACCTTTTCGTTACACCGCATCGTTTTCTCTGCCATCGCTTCCTCCTCCTCTATCTGATCCATTTTCGTCTGCGCAACAAAAGGATGCTTGGGGATGCTACTGCGGATCAAATGTGGGTGCTTAGGAAGAGATGGGTATCTGCAGAAAAACCTCGACTTCGAAAAACTCGCAGTGCTCGTATTTCTCTCCGAGGAGGATTCGACGTCCTGACGGTACTCTTTGCCCAAATAAGCTGAACTGCGCGGGGATATCCAGGAATTCGGATCGGAAGGTACAAAATCGCTTGCGAGCTGCGGAGCATTAAGTATTTCGGTCAACATTATCCGATTCTCGACCGTCCTCTCAGTGCAATGCTCACTGACGCATTTCGGACGGCCAAATGTTCCGAAAGTCGGTTGCGTCGATGGCTCGTCGTCGACGTGACTGGCATCAGAGTGCCAGGATTGTTGGGAAGAGGAAGATGACACAGACGGACATTGTTCGATAAATCCCGAGTCAAAAATATGTTGTTTCTTCGATTGCTTCTCCTTCGATTTCTTGCCGATCTTCCTGTGATTTAACGATAGCTTAGCTCGATTAAACACTGACAGTATCTTCTTCAATGACTTCTTTTGCGGCAACTTCTCGTCCAGCACCGGTATCCATGTCACGGAGGTATCATTGTCGATCTCGATCGGCCGCTTCAGCGAAACGCCGATCACTCGCGGCGATTCTCGATTGAAGTCGGAGCAGGGTTTTAATATCTGTTCCACAGCCTGAGGATTCTTGTGATCGTTTAAAACATCTTTGGAAGGTACAACGGTAATGTCTTGGAAGGATGACTCTAACAGCAAATTATCATTGGCATGACTGCTCGACGTGTCGTCACACAACGATCTCGAGGAAGAACTCAACGATTGCGATGAAGTTAAGGATAATTCAAATTTGCAATCTTCGTTCTCGAAATCGTACAAATCGACTTGTAAATTCTTGTAACTATTATTGCTAGCATTACTCGAATCACGAGAATTCGTCAAGATATTGTCAAGAGGATCCACCTCATAGTCCATATCTTTGTCGTTAACATCCTCCAAAGGACTCGAGCAGATCAGCGGCATATTATTTTTCGATTTATATTTTCCCTCGCTTTCCGAGGGACTATAGAATATTTGACCTTTCCTCTTCAGAGTTTCAGTTTCGCTTTTTTTCGAGGAATTGGGTCGAATATTCGTCAATTCTCTCATAAAACCATACTTATTTATCTTGGAAGAGATTCCCGACCACGTCTTTAAAATGTCTGTCATTTTGTCGTTCTTCGAATGGCAGCGATTAGGCATCACGAAATCGTCTTCGAGATCGTGCTTCTTGACGACGGAAGACACGGAAGATATCTCGGATGTATTTTTAAGATTACTGCCGAGTTCGCCGTATATCGAGGGACTTGAATCGCTCTTTTCTATGTTCTTCTGGTTTCGGATGGTGTTAAAAAGACCGGATCTTTTGCTAGCGTGTTCTTCTTCAATATTTTCAATAGATGCTCTAATACTCGACTCGTAAGCTTCGACAATCTTCTTAACGAAGCTGCCACCGTTTGAAGTCGACGATTCTGAAACGGTGTTCTGGCGACTGGACGATCTAGGGCCTGTCTCGAACTCTTGGATTAAAGTTTCCATGTTCGGTACGTTCTTCGGTATATCTGGTAGCACACGAACTCCATTGAAAGCCGCCATATTACGACAATTAAAAATTTGCTATGGTTTCTACACTTGGGGCAGTAAAATATCCTCGATTTATCGATGCAGAACTACGAAGAGAAACAAAAGAAAATTTTGTTTTAATCTTATATGTCAACTAGCAAGAACATGCAACTAATAATTCGACTAACATAAGCGCGTGTTCATGATTAAGAACAATTAATTTTTCTCCACACAACTATTTTTTTCCTTAAAAAATATCAATAATTATAAACCCGCTTCTTATTATGTTATGTTTCAGAAAAAGAGTGAAAATTATTATTTAATCACTTTAAAAAAATATGACTTTTTCTTTTTTTAATATAAATCTTTTTTATAATATTGCAAATTTAATCATTAAACGACAAAGAAAAATTATATAATTTTCAATATTAAATATTAAATACGATTCATAGTTATTCGATTTTATTTTTAATGTACTTATGAAATCAGCCTGCACTAATCTCAATCTCACTGCATTCGACATGTTATATTTTAATACATATTATATAATCTGTGTATTGTTAATTATCTTACATAACAAAATAAAATTTACAAAAATATTAAATATATTAAAAATTATCAAAATTACATATCTATTAAAATCACATAAATTTTCTCAATTCCCTAATATTCTCGGTATTCATGTCATCCCTCAATAACCCTCTCAGTATTTAAAGCTTTAAAGCAAATATTCTCAAAGTTTATCGGCTTTGCCGCAACACTCACCTCTTCTGCAGGATCAATGTATCAAGAACAAAATCACATCGAAAATTCAGATTGCATCTTCCCAGAGCGTCAATCCACTGCCACAGATCCACAATGATCCAGCAGAAATGCTCTTCGAAGATGTCTTCGCGAAAATGTCCTCTTCAATAAGAGGAAACTTTATATATATACGTATTTTTGTTCGACTAAGATATTCGGTATTTTTAATTCTAAATAATATGCAATCTATGTACATTGATCCTGCCCTACCGACTTTGATTTTTCTCCTTCTAATACTTCTATTATTCTCTTTCACCTCTTTTTATTACAGAACTTCAACATGAAGGATATCTAAGACTTTTAAGCAACGCCTAATTGGCAGATTAGGGATGATACCGGTTCAAAATTATTCTTATTTACTAACAGTTTCTAGCATAGCGAAATAATGAACTTTATTCGCAAAAGTAAGTAATATTCAAATTTAATTTTCAGTAAAGTATTTATGCATGCTTAAATTTGATTAAAATAGTCGTTTGTATTTAAATTGTAAATTTTATTTATAAAAGTTTGTGTGTTGTATATATTTCCTTGCTTACACGCGCGCACACTCTCTTTTAAAGAAATGAAATATTTTTTATCTAATATATATTATCTCTATACATAACATTTTGCTTCGAGAATTTTATTTTTAAGTTTACAATCTGTCTATAGCAAACACATGCTAATCGTACTCTGTGTTTCGTCATATTTTTATACTTTCTTTATTATAAGCTATCAAATAGAAATAATATTCAATGATGTTTTTCTCTCTCTGACTTCAACGTTTCTTGGATGTTTGTCAACTTATTAAATAACTAATTAGAGCGTTGTGAGATAACGATTATTCATGCTAGTCAGAAACATCTGATTTTTCGTAAAATACTTAATCCCGTTTTACTCATCAATTTGATTCCAATCCGTTGCAGCGACCGTTACACGATTCGTACTAATTTCCGTTGAGACGGAATGAATCTTCGTAACGGTAATGAACTGCATGTGCTTTCATCGTTATTCACGGATATATGAACATAATGGAACAGAGAAGACATAAGATAGCAAGAATTGTAAGATTTATAGAAAAAGAACAAAAGTGAAAATATATATATATCTATATACATATAACAAAAATATGTTATGCGCCTATTAATAAAGAAAACACACATAATTATAATCCAAAGTAATATTAGTTATTATAATAATACCAAATTATTAATTATGTAATAAATTTTATGGAGCAATTTTTTATTTCATTCTATTCTTGCATTTCGCGTTACACTTTTGCGTTACTTTCGCATATGAATTTTTCATGGGTCGCTATAACAATAGCACACGGTCTCGTTATAGTGATAAAAGTCGAGCGATAAATCGACAAAGAACCCTCGGCTGGCTATAATGCCGATCAAAGCGAGGACGCGAAATTAGAGAGCAAAATGAGAGCATAAATCACTACCAAACGATCTCGCGATCGATCCGCAAAAATACTTTCGGATAAAATTAATTTTTCGGGATACTTTAGTCATTTTCTAGTTCTTTCACTCAACAAATATACATATTTTCTTAACAACAAATTTTCTGCAGAATAATAGACACTGCTTCTGAATAAACTGTAAATAATTTGCATGATGCTGCAGATTTTATTGACTTATTGTTAGCTTTGATGAAATTTCGTGAAACTGCTAGCAAACACAAATAAACATTATTTATTACGATCGAGCTTTAAGCTTAGCTGGACAAAGACAACAATGGTATTCTCGTACATGTACAGAAGATCAGTCATCTTGACGCTCCCTAGGCATCGATTGCCGAAGAACGTCTGATGGACGCCCACGTTTAACCCGAGTACTCGTACAAGGATCGTTATACTGTTATTATGTCTGTTATTGCGTCTTTCTATTTATAGATTACAACGGCGCCAATTAAAGACCACTAATCTCACGGATCGTTGCTTGCCAGATTATTCGTCTGCACGATAATTAATCTCAACTAATCCATCGCTTTCAATGCTAATTTCTTCAGTGTAAATTTTTCAATGTTAGTCAAAGAATCGGCAATTGAAAGAAGCGACAGCAGTGAACCTGGATAAATATCTCTTTAATTTATCGGAAATATTTTCTAAAATTAAAAAATGCTAAACGTATTTTTTATTTCTCCGAAGAAATCAATAATATCGTTAAAGAAGTTATTAAATCGAAAGACTGGTCTTTCAACAGGGATGATAAAACTTATTATTAAAACTTATTAATTTAACAAATGTATCTATATAAAGTGGTAAAAAGAACTGTAAAAAGAACGCCGAAAAATATATGGCATAAAGATAAAGATTAAAATCAGTGCAAGATTAAGGTCATATATTTTGCGAGAGAGAATGTGTCGTATAAAATCAAATCCGTTTAAATGTATATTGTAGTAGAATCGCAGGTTTTTTTTAACAAAAAATATACATCGAGAGCATACTGATCCAAAGTCTCCACACGATCAGAAAAATCGCGTTTCACTCCAGAGAAAAATAGAGTTTAAAGTTTTAATTCTATCTGTGTCACACACGTCCAGCTTGTAATGCAATGACTGCCGACAAACAAGATTCGATCTCGCTACTCCCCCATCCCTCCTTCCAACCCTTCCTCAGTGTATGACACTGACGTCATTGCCCCGGTAAGTCGTTTTACATTCTATGCAGTATGCATGAGATCGCGTTTGAATGTCAACGATACTGCCCATATCAGCGAGAAGTCTCGCGATATTCCGTGAAACAATGCGTCGCTACGAAAGTTCTTAACGAAATCGATCGATCATTAAAGCTGACTAAAAAATGAATCCGGTAACAATCCGAGAGGCGTTAAATTGCATATTGAAAATTCCGATGTATCCTTCAATCTC